ACAAACAAACAAAAAAACCCAGCATGAGGGCAGGGTGCCTGGGTGGCTCAGTCAATTGAGGGTCCAGCTTAGATCATGATACCAGGGTCATGGGATTAAGCAGAGCACTGGGCTCTGTGCTGAGAGTTCATTGAGCCTGCTTAAGATTCTCTTTCTCCCTCTCTTTCTGCCCCTCTCACTGGCTCAGGCTCTCTCTCTCTCTCTCTCTCTCTCTCAAATTAAAAAAAAAAAATAGTATAAGGGTTATTATTTCTAAGGAAGTACAGAAACACTGATGATGACACAATGGGGAAAAAAGCATAGTTAAGGCATCTTTATAATGCATAGACTTTAAAAAAAACAAAGTGCTGAAGAGTTTATTAAGTTTCATACCTCAATAATTTAAAATTGTCCCTATTCACAATATTACTTTGCTCTAGTAAGACACAATGTAAATACAATTTTTCCTTGAGTTTAAATTCCTATGTAATGAAAGATATAATAGACTGATTCTTAAACGTGACCACATCAAAACATTATAATTACTGTTACCCACTGTGGGGTAAGAATTTGAATAAACGGCATCCTCATATACTTCTGGAGGGGGCAATAAAATGAGCAGCCACATTCTTTTTCAGGGGGAGAAAAAAAACAGACATAAACTATCCACAGACATCTATCTATAATATAGTCCCCTACAGTTTCTAAATGTAAAACCATGAAAACTGCTATTTAAATAATAGCAGGGAAATAACTACTTGAAAAAACTAAACTGTTCTTTCAGGCTATTTTAAATCTCTAATCCAACATGGATCAATTTACTTGTTTTACTTATGATAAGGATCTGGAATCTCTAATAATAAATGAAATTAAACCCAACACAATTCTTGTGCTAATACTCGGTGCTATATGAAATTTGGTAAGTCTAATCTAGAATCAATCCAGACAAATTACTGAAAAAAAGAAAAGAAAAAAGAAAAGAAAAGGTACGTGTGTGTGTGTGTGCATGTGTCTATACTTTAGCAAAAAATAACAACCTGAAATTCGTTTGGTTTTGATACTAATGTCTTCAATCAGAAAATGTACAAAAACAATGTTATAAAATTACCTACCTCACGAAGAGAAGTGGTTTCCCGGATAAAAAACATGTTAATTATCCCAAGATATTTGGTTATTTTTGCTCCAGGAATGAAAGAAAGAGGTGTCATCTTAACAACCCCAACTGTAGAATTTGCACAAGGTGGAGCAGAACGGTTCCGGAAATTTCCTTCACCCATCGGACTTGCTTTTTCAACGGTGACAGCTAAATTTGGAGAAAGAAAAGAAAACCTCAAGATCAGATGCTGGTAACTCAATTATTCCCTAAGGTTTCCAAAAAAGTGGTGACAACATTCAGCTGTCTGTGAGGGTAAGCCATGTCATGAGAGTAAAGAAATTATCATGCACTGCATGCAATTAAAGAGAGAAAGAAAAACGTGAGAGGAAATGCTGAAATGGAATTCTTTTGGAAGAAAAATGGCATTCCTGCAAAAGAAAATGCTGATGCGGTATAGCTATGACAACACACAATGATCGTTATAAAGTGAAGAAAAAGAAAAAGCAGGAGAGCATTAAAAATTATCTGCTGTAGGAACAAATTATTACAAAGAGAGTGTGAAAGTTGTTATATTTCCCAGTGCAGTTTTTCCATCTGTTTCAGACAACTTCATCACTGTCAACTTGTAGATAAACCTTATGTTAACAAGTTGTAATGGGTTTCTTCTCCAAACCTTTTTGATCAAACTCATAATTTTAAAAACAAATGACCTTGGCTATCTAAAAGTTAACTGTTTATAAAATAACAAATAATAATAGCTAGCACTTATCAAGTAACTACTATAAGCCACACATGCATATGTATTATCTAATCCTTACAACCCAGCAACATAGATATTATCCCCATTTTACACATGAGCAAACTGAGGCTCAGAGAAATTACATAACTTGCCCAAGGTCACACAGCTATTAAAATGACACTTCTAGGATCCCAAACCAGATCTGTCTGGTTCCATATCCTGTGATCTTTCCTCTAAAACATCATTCGTTCTCTCTTAATGTACTATAAATTCTTTCACTCAAATATGTTTACCTCAAAGTCTATCAAAACACATGGAGTATAAAGAACACATAAGTAACGATCCTGATTCTAGCAGTGAGATAAGAGTTTACTACTTTCTATCCAGAAATACCTCATTCTTTTAGCCCTCTTTATCACTCTTAGGAAACTAACAGATGCCATATACTACATAGTAGCTAGGGTCCTCAAAGAGTATCTCTTCTATAAGAGAGCTCATAATTTCCTTCCATTAGGAGGATATAATATCTATACACTTCTAAGAATACCTTCACAAAAAGTAAAATTTTTAAAACATAATTCTACAGTTAAAATGAACAAATCTAAAGGCCCTTCAATAACTTTTGCTAAGTGACCATTAGAGTCTGCAGCTTTCACACTCCAATACATGATTGATCGGCAATGTTATTACAGGGTAGAAAGGTCTAGCCTTCACCACTGGGAAATCAGGGATATGCTTCTCAGATCATAATGTGGTAGAAACATCCGCCTACTTGTCTTAATTGATCCGCGCCTTATGGTCTGAGCTTTCAGTTTAATGAGCTCTATCCAGCTGCTGCATCTGTCTGCAAAGGAACTGTAATCAACTGACGTTGCTGAAAACACAGACAGAAAACAAAAGAAAAAACAAAGAAAAAATATGGATGACGTCTCTTACTCGTCATAACACTCCTTCCGATGATGTACTTTAACTGTAACTTAGAAAAAGAATGGTCCTTTTCAAGTCAGATACGAGAGATAGTAAAGAGTCAAGCTTTAGACACTGATTTGTCCAAAACCAAGTTCTTAATTAGCTGGCTGAGCATTTTTGGTGATGTCATAGTTGTGTGGTGGTCTCTTAGGGGCAATGGAAGCAAGGTCTTACCAAAATATCACTGCAAGGACCATATACCGCTTTGACTAATGTTATTTCCCATTCTTTTTCTTTACAAGGTTTTAACTGTCTATATTTTAGGACTTTAATTCCTTATTTTTACCCTAAAACAAAAATAATGAAAATCAAATGCTGAAGAACACATGAAAAAAAAAAAAATCACTGGTTGACTTATCTTTTATTAAAACACATTCTTTCTACCATAAGTAACAGAAAGGCCAAAGGATTATTGTGGTCAATATTCTGTTTTCACGTCTGATTTTGGTAACAAGCTTCTGACAACATTGAGCGGGGGGGCAGATGCGAGTCTAACAAGTTCTCTTTTTTAAATAAAATAGCTTTTACTACTACTAAGCTAAAAAGAATGTCAAAGAGCTAAAATTTTATTTTGAGAAACAGGGAAACTATTAAGATGCTAAAAACTTAAATATTAGGTTAATTAATATTTTTAACGACACATTCTAACTACAATAATGCCACATTTTGGTGTTTATTCCACTGTCCAGTGCATTTCTCCAATGTCTGTATGTTTATGCACCACCACACTAGAATTTCACACCTTTGGTGACTATTTGCTTAATTAGACAAACTCACCTCTCTGTGCAGCTGGTATACCTGAGTTAGAACTTGCACTCTCCAGGTGTTCTAATAAGACAATATGAACAACATTAGCTTGGATGCTAAGTACAAGCCAGTATCTCTTCTTTGCTGTTTGTCAATACCATCTATAAGCCAGATGAATAGGAGGAAATCTTTATGGCTTCATTATAAAAGCAAACCAAATAGAAGAATTCAGGGTTTAAGTGCAGCTTCTACTGATATATGAAAACTAGCTCAGTTAATAAATAGCATGTCAAGGAAGACTGTTACTGTAACACAAGAAGAGTTTCAGAAACATTATAGACATGAGAAAATATAAACATAGTAACAAATGTTAGTAGGATGAAAGCAGGATGAGAAAACTGAGCAGAGAAATTAAAGAAAACCTGAAATGAAACTTGGAAGGGAAATGTTTGGGGAGTGGGAAGAATCAATAAGATTACAAATTACAGACAAGGCAATGACCTATGTCTCACAGATAAACACAAGCTGCTTACTAGCCATAACTTTCCCCCTCACTACCACAATCCGCTTCATTCAAGGACTTCACTGTCAACAGTTCCCTCTGGTGGCATTAAGACATTGTGGAACCAAAAAGTACTCTCCACAGACATGACTAGGGTACCAAACTAGAATCACTCCCTTTCCAGGAACCTCACAAAAGGAGCATCCAGAATTTTTCCTAATGTTTCATATTTTCCTAATATTTCATTTTCCCTAATATTTCATATTTTTATTATAGCTATTTAAAGTATTGTACAAATTTAAACAGCACTACAGAAACCTCTGAGAATAATTCGAGTCATCCAGTTTTTTTTAAATTATAAATTAAGTAAATACATATTTTTATCTCTGCTTAATGTATTAATCTTTTGGTAATATTCTTAAATTAACGAAGTTAAACCTTATACCAAATAAGGTTTGGACAGGTTCTTGCTAATTGGGTGCATGGAAGTATGCATACTCCCTCTCCCCATTTTTATAAGGCAAGTGACCACCAGTTAATACTGCAAAGTGTAGAGTGGCTGACATTCCTCTTACAATACAGAGCTGTTGAATAAATGGGCTAAGTAGGGTTGACAAAATGACTGTGAGGTACCATGCTGTGGGTGTGCCCCTAACCATCATGCCCTCAAGACCGTAGATCTAGACAGGAAGAGTCCTCCCTGATTCAGGATCCTGAGGAGCTTTGGAAGTCCAGGAGGAGATGGAACCCACAGGAAGGAGACTACAACAGAACAGACACTCAGAGGCCTATCACATCTCCAGGGACAGCTAGTTCAGCACTGAAACAGACACGGTGCAGAAGGTGGGACAGCAAATGCCCACCCTAAGCCTCCATATCCCAGGTGGCTCCCGGGGCTCTCCTATGTCCTACGTGGTACAGACTTGTGGGGCAGAGACTTACAGAAAATATACTTGGCCTTAGGAATTCTGTGAAAGCTTTTAAAATGAGGGAACAGGGGTCAAAGCTTTAAAAAAATGTGAAAATTATTAACATGAAATTATCTTCTATAACTCAGTATTATCTGGGTAATAGGAAACTCCCCAGTGAGTAGCAACTACATGTAATTTAATAACAAATGTCCACCAAAAGAGCATGTAGAAAGTATCTGTTACCAGCTCTAAATATCAATTTAAAAAAAAAGAACCAAAGGTACACATTGATCTGTAAAATATTTGTTTTTTTAAAGAATAAATAGTATATCTTTGCAAAGACAGACAATAAATCTGATTAAGAGTAGTTGCCTCTTGAAAAGGTAAATGAATGGAGAAGGAGGAGCTAGATTTTGGACTATTTGATTTTTTCATAAGATTTGAATGTTTCACCATGTACATTTATTACTTTTCCCAAAAAATTTTTACAAAGGGTGGAGGGGGGGGAAGAGCAAGGGAAAATGTCTATTCCCTGCCTTCATATATGTATGTATTGAATTAAAATTTAAGAAAAAAAAAGTTTTTAAATTGAAGATATTCTTTTTTTTAAAATTTTTTTTTTTCAACGTTTATTTATTTTTGGGACAGAGAGAGACAGAGCATGAACGGGGGAGGGGCAGAGAGAGAGGGAGACACAGAATCGGAAACAGGCTCCAGGCTCTGAGCCATCAGCCCAGAGCCTGACGCGGGGCTCGAACTCACGGACCGCGAGATCGTGACCTGGCTGAAGTCGGACGCTTAACCGACTGCGCCACCCAGGCGCCCCTAAATTGAAGATATTCTTAAGGGAAAGGTTAAGGGAGATGATTTTTGATCTCACTTCAGGACAGCAGGTTCACCCGACATGCTTGCCAAGATCTTAATTTTTCTCACAGAAAAAAGGCCCAAGATGAGGTGGTCCAGGGAACAGGTGATCAGCACCTCAGACGTTTGCACACCTCAGTTATCTAAGGACCTCAGATTCTCAGTCACTTTGCTCCTCTAATTACAGTTTGGCTTTCAAGGTAATAGGCTTTTCAAAAGAGAAGGTACTACAGATATTAGTTATCTGGCAATTCTGGTGAAAAAGAAATAAACTAGCAATTCTGGTGAAAAAGAAATAAACACATACGCAATCTCTAAGCCAATACTTAAAAAAAAAAGAGAGAGAGAAAGAGAACATATTTCACATTCAGGAGTAGAAATCTTATTAAAATCTTTTGAGATTTGTTGAGTAGCTAATGCCCATTGCCAGCCATTTGTATATTTGTCTACATGTGAAAGTCTCTGTTCCACATGTGAAAGAGTTTGAGACAAACACTTCTTATGTTAGGTATCCCCATTCTAGCTGCAGAAAGTCTCAAGGAAGCCACACAGTAGCCCACTTCTCTTACGATTTCCTTTCCCACTGGATACAAAAAAATGATTATTTTGCTTCATTAAAAAGTCACCAGTAAGTGATAACCCTGTTATCCCCCCCAATGAACAATCTTAGAAAGTCAGCAAGACAAATAGAAAATAAAGTTTTATTATTCTCTTAGTACACTACAATTGTATTTAACAAGCCCTATCAGGGTGGGGCGGGAGACTAACCTAGGTTAAAAGCAGTTGAGTGAAAATGAGCATATTGATGACAAACAGAAAATAATGCGGCAAGGACTCTTCCTCCCTCAATTATACATGCTCCAATGCTTCTGAAGTTTGAGACTTCTTCCATTCTCCTAAATAACTTGTCATAACCAAGGACAAAGGTATCAGCTGGCGATGATAAAGCTCTACAATGATCAATAACTCTTCTGACAACTTATTCACATTAGAATCTACAAATCATCTTTGTTTTGAATAATTAAAAAATACTTGAGATAATCTTATCTGGTCATCTTAAGGAAATTACAAAAACTAAAAAAAAAAAGCCCTGAAACTTATGAAGATTCTCTGGCAGATTAAAAAATATGCAATCTGGAATGCCTGGCTGGCTCAGTCAGTAGAGCAAGCAAGTCTTAATCTCAGGGTTTGTAAATTCAAGCCCCATGATGGGCATGGAGCCCACTTAAAAAAATTCATATGCAATCTGAAGTCTTTAAAAGTGTCTGCTTTATTTAGCTATTTAAACATTCTTAGTTTTAAGTTATTATGATCAAAATTTCACTTTATGTCTCTTTCAGCATTTCTGTCACTCTATAATATACTGATTAGCTATATCCTATAACTATAAAATCTGGCTTAATGACTGAGTTAAATAAGACAAATTATGTGTATAAACATTCAGTAGAAACCTTGTCCATAATGATATTCAAATACTGGTGGATTGATAATGAAATTGCCATACTATAGCTAAAAGATATTTAAAGCACAGAGAAAAATATAAATAGCTTCAATCTGGAGAGTCCACTATGGGAAAAACTCGACTACTATCACTCACAATATGTACATTAGATGACAAAGAAAATTAGCTTCTCTATTTGGATCATTAAAGCTTCCACCTTGTACAATTAAAGGAGTACAACAGCCTAAACAACCTGTCTTCTTTAATGCCCATTTTCTGTTTTCCTGCCTGTTTCCAGGCATTCACTTCTCCCCTCCGCCCCACCCTTTATATCTTCTCTTCTAAATAACCCAGTAACCCAGTTCCATTTTCTTTGCTGTTTACTCCCTCTTCCGCAAACTCTGGATTTCATTGAACTCAAGCTGCCTTGAAGAAGCAAAGATTCCTTATCCCTACTTCTCCATCAATTCTCTTTCCTTCCTTCTTTCCCATATCTGGGATGAGTTTCTCATATATTTTCCACTCTGCAGTTTCTCTTTTCCTCTCAATCTCCTTCCCCTCAGCATCTCTCTCCTTTCAGGACCTCCCACTGATGGCTGGGCCATCAACAACATGGAGAACTTCAGTGTTTGGTACTGTTGCTACCATTTGGTTGTAGTGACAAAATAGATTTTAAAAAGAAAGAAAAAACAGACATGCAATGAATTGTTAATACATAAAGATATTTTTAGTTAGTGTAAAGAACTATGTAATAGTTGTAAGAATTTAGAACCATTAGTTAGCAGGATAAAATAAAAGCTAACTTTGTAGTTTTTATAGGGTTATATTTCAAATGGCTAGTTTAAAGTAATGTGAGGCAAGTCATTTAATTTAAAAAATTAAACTATCTTCTAAAATCAAATTTGTCTTAACAAAGACTAACCCTTATAGCCTCAATAAAAATAAACATTAAAAAACTTCAAATGTGAATATCTAATTATGGAGTACAATGTATTGAGGGTATAAACCAACTTGTTTTTTTTTTTTATACTGAAATCCAGAATTTGACCTCTGCTCGTCACATTAATCAGCAGCTTGGCTAGCTTGATAATGCAAGAAGAGTACTCTCCTGCTCCCACGTATGCCACCACTAAGACATGGGGCTATCTGCACTCAGCACAAAGCAAAATGAAAGCAGGATCAAGTTAGGTACAAAAGACTTTTCTTCTATACAGTTTCATCTGACAGTACATAAAAAACTAAATTTACCTAACCTTTTAAAAGCCTTAAACTCTCTAATTTTAATGAAAACTATTACCTTATTATAAACCTATAAAGTATTTGAAATATATTTATAGTGGCATATGATTCACATACATTTGTCTGAGATCTTAAGAACCATAGTATGGTACCTAATATATTGAGATTTAGGGCTTTAGACATATATCAAAAATAATTTGCTAACCTTTTATAAAAAGTATATGCATAAAATTTTTGAGATTTTCTACAGTCTGTAAGAAAAATCCTACTGATTTTTTTTATTTTAACCCAGATTACTTTCACTCAGATTCCCCATTGTTACTGTGTTCTGTCCACTTTATCATTTGCTACCTTAAATATATAGACTAATTTTATATATATATACATATATATATATACACGCTATATATATTATGCTTATAATATTGGCAATAAATATGTATATATATAAAATGGTCTCTTAAAGCCATTTCATAGTGTAAAAGAAAATATTTAGAAAACTAAAGTATAGATACTAATGATGAAGAAAAAACATTATGAGAGTGGTATAAAAAATTTGCCATCCTTTTTCTCATAATACAGCCTCATGTGAATATAAGTAATTTATGTTGATGGCACATCATCTATGTTCCTCATAATATTCATCAAAGAATTTTGATGACCTCCACATGATAATTTCCTGGAATAAATTACTCAGGCTCAGCACCTTTTAAAATTTCAAATCAGAAAATCAAGACACCTAGAGCAAGGTAATCAAACCGGCCATAAATTTGAGACCTACATCAAACTATTTTGTTACCCTGAGAAATAAAACCAAATATAACAAAATATGAAAAGACAAAAATGAACATGGATGGACAATTCAGGCCCAGGCTTACTCTACACGGTGAATTAGATTAGGATACACATAATTGAAGCATATTTTCTTCACATAATATTCACTCATTTTTCAGTAACACAAAAAGGAAAGGTTTATCTACAAGTTAAAAGATGGAAGTATAAATAAATATGCTGTGCATAGTTCTTGAAACTACTCTGTCAACATACAAGTAACGATTTTTAATAAATTGCCTTGTCTGTAATAACATGAAAAATTAAATTAAGTAAAACTTAATATTAAACTTAAAATAAAATGAAGCTTAATAAAGTTTTCAGAATTTAAAAAAGGGAAAAAGCTCCATCAGCTTAGCTAACTGACCTTAACAAAAGTATAAAAACCATAAAACTATATATTTACTTATTTATCAATATTAGTAGTCGACTTTTAAGCCTCTTGTGGTTGCATATAAGAAAGTCAAGAAGTTTGGGGGCTTTTCCTAGCACTCTTTATTTATTTATTTATTCCTAGAACTCTTTACCTTTCTCTCTCCTGCCTGTTACTTCTAAATTGCTAAGCTTAACTTTTGCCAGATATTTCTATTCTCTATTTAAAACTTCCCTTCATGTTACAATGCTCAGTTACTACATTCATGTATTACACTCTATTATTCCACTCTTCAGACCTTTTCAAAACCCATCCTACCCTCAAATCTTCCAAAATACTTTGTGATAACTTCTTCAAGTATATTTAGTATAACCGATGTCCTCCTGAAAAGACTTGAGGAAGCAAAGACAATAAATAAGCATGCAACAGAAATGACACTTACAAAAGTATTCACAAAAAGGCACTACTAAACTTTTTAGTAGTTACTGATGATTCTAAAATGTAATATTCAAGGAAAAACAAATAGTTTTTGCAGTTAAGTACTTAGTATAAAAGTTTCATATATGTTAGTATTAGATGTGATGCTACTAAACATTATGAAGATGGTGATGATGGCAGCATGATCTGATTCGGTGGTTTTCAAACGTTTTGAAACTCTTTCTTACAACAAAATCAGATACAGAAAATCGGTAAGTAAAAGCATTACTGAATCGAAGCTGCTCTAGTTCAGAGGTAGCGGGTCCAGAGACCTCCCCTCCCCTCACTCCCTGCCCACCCTGCCTCCTAGAAGGCCATGAAGCACCTATGAAGAAACTCCATGGTTTGGAGAAGTTGAATTTAAAAATTATTAATTTAATAGATTTGAAGCTATTTGGAAATTTTTAATTTAACTTAATTCGGAAATTTTTAATTTAACTTAATTAAACATTAGTCTCTGATTTTGATTAATTAGCTTTTGATTTATGTTTTTAATAACAGGAACATGTTAATTATTGAAGAACCATTTGCTATAGAAACCCAAGGAATGAGAGTTAAAGGCTAGAGAGAATATTAATCCTTTCACATCTTGCAGATGAGGAACTAAGGCTTAGTTGGCTTATTAGAGGTTAACCCGCCTAAGTTCTCACACTTGATCAGTCGCAGAACTGAGAAGAGAACCCACATCTGCTACTTTATTACTCCACTTTAGGGCCCCTCTCCACACTCCCTGAAATGAACTGCAATGTTTTAAGTACTGTTCAGATATGACTTATTCTACTCAAATTCTTCTTTCCTCATTCTACAAAGTATCATTTGTACAAAATAGACTCATGACGCCAACAAGCACTAGTTTTAATTACCTTTGAAAACACTTTGAAAGCTACTGCAGAAACTGCAAGTTATCAATATAGATACGAAAAATTTAAAGAATTTAAATCCAATTTTCTTCAGAAATCAGTAACTACTAACAAGGTAAAATTGAGCTAAAGGAACCCCATATCCACAAGTATATATTCCTATAGATTGCCAATTGATCAAATCTTTTTGTTGTGATTACATTTTTGGTTTTGGTTCCCCCTCCACACCCCACCCCACCCATTGCAGGGTAAGGATAAACAAAATGACACCTAAAAGTGATCTGAACTAACCCTGTGGCTAAATACAAGTTTCCTGTACAAATAGGTGTTTTAAAAAAAAATCGTATCTAGTCAGTACAAGGAAGATTCTTCACAGTTCTTTTTGTTCTGGAAGCTATATTTAATTGATAAATCTTGAACTCAGATTATCTTTGGATTTGATTTTTCCTCTCTCTTCTTTCAAGGAGTTGAACTATGCTAAAATTCTCTATGGAGTTCTAAAGTAGAATTTTAACTTAAACAAGAAAGAGGACCACAGTTACCATGTTAGAAAGTTCAGAATCTGAAAGGAGCTTATCTTTTCATCTTCAAAATATGAGACAAGATCTATTTATCTACATAGATAAGCAGGCCTAGTGATTTAGTAAAGACTCTATATGCAATCTGAATATAATACTATTCTGTATTATAACTAATTGGTATCAGATGAAATAACTGATAAGTACAAATCATTTAAAAATTTCTCTTGCATTATAAAATGTAAAAATTAGAAAAGCCAATTTTGTTTGAAATAACAAATGCATCACTTCTCAGAATAAAAACCTATGAAAAAACAGAAACTACACTTATTGTATATGTAATGCTATAAAATAAGGTATAGTAATTCTGAAAATTCTTATAATAAAAATTGCCCTGAAAGCAGAAGAGAAATAGAAAATACTACCTTCCATTTTTCTCCAAAGATTGTACAGATCTATGTAGATGTATTGCTATTAAGAAAGCATCATTTTGCATTTGAAAATATGGCAGTATCTTTTAAGCACATAGCAACGTTCCTCAATAATAACCAAGACACTCAAAAGACAGCTCATCCCTTTTTTACTTATACTACCCCTACCTAAACCTCTCCACACACCTTCTGAAGAAAATAAGTATTTTATTTTCCATAAAATGTAAACATTTTTGAAAAGATTCAATTGTTGCTGGAAAAAAACCTTACCAGATAGTATCAATATATCATGTGTGAGTAGTTACTTAGGGAAATACAGATTACTGAAGATAAAACTTTAATACATTTGAAGTATAAGAATGGAGTATCACATGAAAAATTACCTTAATAATTTATGATGAGATTACTTGAGAAATTAAAATATGAGGAATATTACTCTCTCCCCTGTACAAACATGAAGAAACAGACCATGAGGGAATGAAGAATAAATCTTCATCTCAAGAGTAAGTAAGACTGCCTACAATGAAGAAGTAGAAGGAACGAGAAACTAGGATTTGTGTTCGCATTTCCCTCATTTAACCAACCTTTAGCTTGTGGAAAAGGATGAGAAGGAAGCGAATCTGAACAGAGCTCCAGTGGAAACTGCAGAAGTTCTTCATTATCTGTAGAGGCTTGAGAGGCAAGAAAAACACTAGTTATTTAGTAATGATCTAGTATTAATTTTTTTTAATTAAGAATCTGGGATAATATATATTTCCCCCCAATCCAATTTATTCTCGTTATTTTCTTTTTGGTTTCTCCCACAGAAATCCTTCACCTGCATACTGTTGAGAGATGCTCTCCTCCCTGCTAGGACTGTTGTGAGATTTAGAAAAACTCCTAAGTATAAATCTCTTAGCATATAATAATAAGAACTCAATAACAAATAATAGCTCCACAATTATTATTCTACTTTTTGTACCATACTAGTTCTATGATACTTAAAACAGTTATTTTCTATCTTCTTTGATAAATATCTGAACGCAATCGTTTAATACATCTGTTTGACATTAATTCATGCTTTGCATGTAGAATGTAATCACCTTTAAAAATTTTAGACTAACCATGTATATTTCATTTAGCCAGGTAAGCCCTTAAAGTTTAGAAAGCATACTATTTCCCTGTCCTTTTTTTCAGAACACATAGCAGTTTTTAATAATGAGTTTCTTTGGAATATATTAAGGATGGTACTTCCTAAATTTTACTGGATAAAGGACAACTCTGAGAATCTGCTGGATACCAGGGAACCTTTCTTGAGAATACATGATGTTTACTACATCAGTAGGTTCTCAGATGCCTTGAGGACCTCCCCAAAGACTCCAGGACAGAAATCACAAGATTTCTGCAGAATTAATATACTATAACTAAGCCTAAAAACAGCAGCATTCTTTATGGAAATAAATACCAGTGAACCACCTATTCATGTGTGAAAAATACCAAGTCATCACATTCTTCTTATCCACCACGTTATAAAGATAGAAAAAGTGACATATCTCTTCTTCAAGAAAAAAGTCATTTATTTAATCTACCTTTTTCACTGAACTATAATGTAGACAAACATGAACTATGATCCCATCCATCACAGGTTTACCTCTTTGCAATGACTTTTCAACATGTGTTTTTGTGGTCTGTAAAGCCTGATTTTTGTCAAAAGTTATTGCAACTGCTGTGACTGTAACCTAGAATTATAGAAACAATGTGATTAGCAAACTAATCATTGCCACAGTAAGTTTCTCACAAACCTTCTTCAGTAGCATGGAACAATTTATACTAACTGGCTAATTTGCTTTTCCTGGTTAAGACTCTCAACCAGAATTGCCAATAACTATTCAGATATTCAGACTACAACTGAGTCTGACATGTGTACCTAAACCTAGATATTCCTGCAAGAGCTCAAGTACCTTCTCTAAAATATGGGGACAGGAGAAATCCCACATAAGTACACATTCTATGCTAGCCATATGATTCTACCTTTGGATTATAGAGTTCAGAAAAATAAAACATACATGGACTGATTCATTCTAATATGTTTAAAAATATTATAAAGCAAAATCCTTTACACTTATTCACTTATGGCAGGTTTATAATATTAAAACAGATCAGATAAAAGCTAGAATTCTTCTTCAATAATAATTGAAAATTGGGGTGCATGGGTGGTTTAGCCGCTTAAGCGTCCAACTCTTGGTTTCAGCTCAGGTCACAATCTCATGGTTTTGAGTTCGAGCCCTGCATCAGACTCTGTGCTGACTGCACAGAGCCTGCTTGGGATTCTCTCTGTCTCCTTCTCTCTGCCCCTCCCCTGCTTGTACTCTCTTTCTTAAACTAAATAATTAAACATTAAAAAAAATAATAATAATTTGAATCTTAATTACCTGTATTAATTCATCTTCAGGCAGAGATACTGTAAAATTTACATGGCAAAGGCAGCAGGGGATCATAGACCGTAGTTTAAAATACAGGCTCTACACAATAGGAAATATTAGTAATATCATTTCTTTTGATTAAAACATTTTTAAAAACTGATTTTTCACCACACACTGCATTATGGCAAAAGGGACATTTAAAAGAGTAAAACAAAGCTGGCCCACTTGTTTCGTGTATTCTTACATTAAGAATATTATTTTAAATATTTAAGCAGACAATAAGATTTAATCATAATAACCAATAAGTCATAAAAAGTAATATAGGAAAAAAGGCTTTTTTAAAATTTATGTATATACAATAGATTCATATGAAGCTTAAAACTATGAAACAACTTAAAATATATGTCATCAATAGTGTGGCATATTAAGATGGAGAGGACAACTTTAGCATTTTACCAGATGACAGAGTTAAGATTAAACTAGTATGTAAATGAAAATAATTTGGCCCACAACTGTGTAAGATATTCCAGACAACACATACACTTTCCTTTTTTAATTTCATAATTCTTTGGAGTTTTAACTAAAATATAGTTAGTCAAAAGATTCATACCTTGAGCAAATTTTCACAGAGATCATTAAAGTTCTTATTAAGGGCTTGATTAGTCAGGTTAAGGCTGCTTAATCGGATTACTCTTACTGATGTGAACATCTAAATATGGGGAGATATAATAGCATGTCATTTAATATTTTTAACTAAATAGTGTAACAGTTGATAAAACTGCCAAAAAATGAATAATAAATAATGTAGTATGAAAAGGGCTAATCCAAAAAAAAAAAAAAAGAAAGGCTAACATTTTAATTGCAATAAGGAGGTCAAAGAAAAAGCATATATTAAGAAGGAACTCGCTAAAATCACATACATTGTATTTGTTTAAAATTGTGAAAGGGAAAGGTTTACCTGTATTTCTGATGTCCAATTGTTTATACCAGGCATAATTTCTGTATTACAACTATAAAAGCCTGTTGAAATAAATCATAGTTAAACTATATGATAATGCTTCATCTATTTTTATGTTAAAGAGTAACATTTTTCAATTATCACATGGAATTCTAACTATAAGATCCATTTATTCTTTTTTCTAAAATACTATACCTTCAGTAGACTTTAGACCATCTCAATAAATTATCAGTTTGGTTTCTTTTTTTTTTTTAATGTATGACCATAAAAGGATTAAAAATATCAGTTCACCTAAATTTTTGTGGTTCTTTCTTTTTAAGATTTTATTTTTAAGTAATTTCTACACCCAGTAGGGGGCTCGAACTTAAAACCAGTATCAAGAGTCACATGCTCCACGTGCCTGGGTGGCTCAGTCGGCTGAGTGTCAGATTCTTGATTTCGGATCAGGTCACAATCCGAGAGTCATAATATCGAGCCTCACGTCAAGCTCCTCTCTCTCTCTCTGTGTGTGTCTCTCTCCCACTCTTGCTCTCTTTCTCCAAAATGAAAAAAACAATTTTTTTAATAAAAAAAGAGTCACATGCTCTACTGACTGAGCTAGCCAGGTGCCCCCTTAGTTCACCTAAGTTCTAACATAAATATTTTTAAAGTATGTTTTTAGCCTTGGAGAAGCAAAGCACATGATAGGATGTGACACTGATAAAACCTTTAAAATAACGTTGCTACTGTAATAATTATGAACTAAAATACTGATACGTAAAACTAGTCTCATCTCAAAAGTAAAGTTTCTTCCACTCACCTGAAGGGGGAGGAACATCAGTAAGCAGAGAATGTACATCTTCCATAGCATCTGTGTCATCAATCTGAAAATAAAGATTAGAACTATTATGTAAGTATAAATACATAGTAATTTCAAACTTTAAAAAAAGAAAAAAATCATTGTTTTTATTACTTACTAAATAGAAAATATAAGAATCAAGGAAAAGTGGAGCTATTTTTTCCTAAGTTAAAATACAAAACTTGAAAAAGAAAGTTCTGATATCTGTAAATTTCTCCACAGTAATTATTATAAATACTTCTAAAACAATATTTCACATTATAAAGTATATTCAATTAAGAAAAAGACAGCCTTCTATTAAGCCTTTATGAGGCATGTTTCAAAAAGCTTACAAAGATACATAAGCAATTATTATTTCTATTTTTATTAGCTAAAAAAGAACAATTTCAAAAAAAACAGGATCTTTCGCCTTAAATACAAAACTGCTTTAAAATTGAACTATATAGGGATAAAAAAAATAAAACTGAATTATATCGGGATAAAATTTAATAAATAAATAAATAAATAACATTGACTTACATAGGGATAAATTTAAAGGCACATCTAAAAAAATAACTCCAAACCCCATTTCTCTTATATCACAATATTTCACTGTGAATAATTAATAGTGAAAATATCCAGCTAAACAAAGACTGACATTCATCTGCACGTTGGGAGTCTGACTCTCACACACTTCAACTGTCCCCTCACATTATCCTTGAAACTTCAAGAACCATTTTTAAACTTTACTTTAGAGACCCACTGTCATGGCCATACCTCAACTCGCTATTCCCCAAAACATTCCACCCCAGATCCAACTACAGTGTCCTGTCTGTTCCTTCTCTTACTTCATGAATCTGCACCTTGTTCTCAGTTCTGCGCAGATCTAAAGCACTTTTGTTCTCTACTTAGCCAGGATCCAAGACCAGAAAGATCAATAAATGCTCCAGATCAAACTTCAGGTAATGCTAAGAATCACCTGAAGAGTAAGATTCTTGGGCCGTACCTTGAAATTTTCATTTACCAGGTCTGAAGTGGGCCCCCAGAACTTGCATTTCTTCTGAGATCCCAGATGGTGCTGATGCTATAGGTAGTCACAGCACACCTGGAGTGACACTACTCCAAACAGTACCCTGGAACCTTTTACCTCCTTAGCCTGACATATTCTTTCACCAACCTCCATTTTTTTTTTTCATTCTCAGACTGTAGAAAAATATGAGAAACAGGCACACATCCATACAGTTTGAGTTTCTACAAATTAACACCCTCGCCTTAGTTCAGGCTTGTGCATCTTCCATGGCTGACATCCTGATCACATTCATGGGCATTGTTCTAGATTCTTCAAACTTCCAAACTCATCCCAACACAATCTACCATCAGCTTCCTGCTTTACTAAAATAAAGGCATCTGATTTTTTCTCTCAACTGGCACCTTTCTAGAACATTTCTGTGTATCCTCATTTATTTTCCTTTCCTTCAATATCAAAGGAAGACCAGCTTTCAAAGCTAACCATTTACAGAGGAGGGCAGAGAGAACAGATTTGCGAGGGAGGAAGCCCCATATATCTTCTGTGTCACATTTATCCTCCAGGAAAGTTCTGAGTGTATTTTCATAACCAAAGTTCAATTATACCTTCTGAATTCAGTAAGAAAACACTACACTCAGAATTCACAGTACTTATCATATTACATGTAAAAAGGATACAATTATAATAACATGTTATAACACATGAAGCAAGTAGATAATAATTATAGTAAGTGAAAGAACAGCATTTTAATTTCTTATTTAAATTCATTCAAGTTTACAAAAATAGCTCCAATATCTATCATTACTATTTTAAATTTTAGCATCATTTTATTTTAACCCATCCATTAATTTTTCCAGAATCACCTGCATTATTGTATCTGGTGTTGAACAAAAAATACATTACCAAGGTCTGATATTTTCAAGTCAATGGTCATTTCTGTAATAACATTTTTAAATGGATTTATAGCAGTTGTAATAATACAAAGTCACATCAATTTAGGATCCGATTGTAAAAAATGTACACCTCATCTTCCAAAAACCTTAATTAATTTAATGCAGTAATACCTCCAAAACAAAAGCATCTTTTTTCCCATGTGAAAGGTCCAATTCTGTAACTTCATCAGAGCTTTCTGACTGAGATCTTAAAAGTCTTGAGCGCTGTCTAGGTTCCGGGATGGGTGACCCTATAATCTCTTCGGATATCTCCTGAAAGAAATATAATTGCTTTATATCACATAAGACTGTCTTTTTCAGCTCTGGGGTTATTTTGTAAACTGTAGTCTTTTACTTCTTTCTTTTTACTTAAGTATAATAGAAATATAACATTATATTGACTTCAGGTATACAGCATAATGATTTGGTATTTGTACACTTCAGTTTGGTTTTAAATTTTTATATTAATAGATAAATATCTGTGGAGAAAAAATCTGTAAAATATATTCACACTCTATATTTAATTATAACTTTTATGACTAATTAACCTTTTAGAGAGTACATGGATATTTCCTTTTATCACTAGTAGCCTTGATACACTAATCCATAACCATACACGACTGTCATGGACATAGCAGGGCAACACTGACATCTAGTGTATAGAGAGGACACCACAACGAGTAGGGAATCGGCAGCCCATCCAGTTCATGTGGTATTTTCTACCCAATATTTAAAAGACTGAACAGTCCAGAAATCATTAAAAATGTAGTTCTCCAGATGAATTCTAACCTTTTATATCTTTTCTTATCCAGTGGTAATTTTTCAAAGTGTCACATAATAAAATGAGGAATATGATAAATGTGTGTATGTGTGGGCAGACATAATACATAATATTATGCAGGGATTTGCTGTACAACTTGTTAAACTAAACAAACTGGTAGCTACAACAACAATCTTTTTTGAGGTCAGTGTATGGTGCAATCCTATATGGGTTTGCAAGCTCTCACCTACTGTATAGCCAAAGATCAGAGGTAACCAGAGGTTCTAAATATCTGTTGGCTATAAGGACTATCAAGAGAGTGTGAATATGTGAGCACAAATAGAAAAGGCTTAGCCTATTGCTGGCATAACAGAGCTATGTTTTTTAAAAAACAAGGAATATAAGAAAAATTTTTTTCAAAATTACAGCTTTAAATGCTCATTGTTAGCACACACCTTACATAAGACTACCACCACACTTTCATAATAGCTACCTATAGAGTAATTTCACATTCATATCTCTTATTTGTACCCCAAATTAACTTGCCCTGTATAAATTTGACAGGGTTCCTATTATAATGACCACACAATGAGAAAGAATTGCAGTTCAGAGGTAAAGCAGTTTGCCCAGGTTTGAAAACTAGTTTAAGCGATGAACCTATCTAGATCAGTTCTTTTGCTCTGAGTACAATGTTCTTCTCTTTGTAATGTTTTTAGTAGTTTAAAATTTGGTTATGCCTCTGCTCACTATGTCCTGGACCTAATAAAAGCAACTATCTAGTATTTAATGTATCTTAAATTTGTAATGAGGTTCCACCACGGGTAACTATGGTATTTTGACACCTTTAGTTGACTGAATTTTCTCCATTTTAAGTGGTACTACACACCTGCAATAGAAAGATTTTTCAATATTGAGGGAAAAAAAAGCGTATTCACTGCAGCAGGAGCTACCTTCGTAAGAGAAGAAACACACTGATTCACATTTTCAGTGTGGGCATACATTGTCTTAGAAACTGAAAAGACAAAATTGTAATATAAGTGAGTAGTGGCCTCGTCAAATTCCGAGAGGTTATGCTGAAAGACTGTAAGGTATTCATTCACTATCTGAAATAGGAGAGACATATTAGAAAATCCATTAAGTAGTCTTTTGTGAAATATGGTCCTTTTCAACACATGAAATCTGTATAAGCTGAAATTTTAAGAATCATAACAGATTTATTCCCTCTAAAATGTACTTCTAAAACAGAAGTTCAATAAATATTTATTGAATAGATGAAGTGAGTTAATTCACATTTTCTAAATATGTCTCTGACTTTAAAAGGCTCACATTATTAAAGAAAGACATGTAAAAAGTAAGTGCAGTAATATGTAACAGGCCCTATCACAGAAGCACATACAAGTACAAGAAGAATATAAAGGAGGAGGGGTCAATTCTTTCTGTGAGAGGTCAGCATGGAAGTACTTAGTTGATAAATACCGTTAAGCAAAAGAATTCAGCTTATATCACGGGGCCCTAACATAAAGCTCTGCAAATCATTCTCCCCAACAGGCATAAACACTCTTAGAAAATGTTCAAATATCAAAGCATAATTATAAAAAAAAAATAATGTACTGCAAACAAGCAGTAAAGTGTTGTGCGGAAAGCTTTTATAGAGGCTATGTAAGTATTAATATACTAACACACGAATTGTCTCAGTGAATTTAAAGAAGCTCTAGATTAGCACTGCTCAACAGAAATATAAAGCAAGTCACAGGTAATAAAAAGGAAATAAAATAAATTTTAATAAAATATTGTACTTAGTTCACTATATCCAAAAGATTACATTTTCAACATACTACCAATATACAAAACACTCATGAGATAATTTACATTCTTTTTCATAGTAAGTCTTCAAAATCCAATGTGTATTTTATACTCACAGCACATCTCAATTCAGAATACACACACTAAGTGCTCAACAGCCACATGCGACCAGTGTCTACCACACTTAGCAGCGTAGCTAGTTGTAGGTCATACCTTTAAAATTCTTCCCAGCTTAACAACTTTGCTAGAAAGCTGTAAGTCGGAAGCTAGAATACAGATCACTGTCCCAGACAACCAACCAAAATTTGATAGTGTGTATAAAATCAAATAATAAAAACCATAATAATAATGTTGTTATCTAAATACTTTCCTTTTGCAGAAGTATTTCATTATCAGAGACTCGTAAAGACAAACAGATTCATTCTAACTCAAACACTTCTTTCTTTCAATTCAGATCCTGACTGTAAGGCGTCCTCAGAGAAGGAGGCCCTGTGAAACCTACTGCAAACCTGGTATAAAAGACTGATTACAGAAGTGACTGGTAGGAAAATTCTCAAAAAGAAGCAAAAAGTGAAAAATGGTGTATCTTTCACATTTTTATCATAGATAAGCAATCTTTCTTTTCACTAAAAATGAACATTTAAACCATTTATTTAACTGTTCAGCAATATTTATCAAGAGGCTACTAGCAGGAACTGTCTGGGCCTCAGGAATACAGCCCCGAGGGGGCCTCATTTTACTAGGAGTAACAAGCAATTAATAGAATCAAAAACCTACTTCTTTGTGTTTATACATACACACACAGAGATAAAAGAAATAAAAAACAGTAAAACACAGAAGGGGGTTAGGGAGTATCAAAAATTGATGGGAGAGTATAATTTTCAAATCAGGCAGTCAGAGTCATCTCCCTAAAAGGAGACATTTGAGCATGAATGCAAAAGGAGGTGAAAAGAACGAGTACTGAGGAGAGCGAAATTCAACAGTGAAAAAAAAAAAAATGTCCAAAATAAGACAACTCAAAAAATATATTAACTCCTAAACAAGAACTCATTCACAACGTAAATTTATTTTACTTACCGGAGGATTAATTTCATATAATTCTTTATTCTTAGCAATTGTGTCATTTATCTTCTTTTGCATATGAGATATGTGCTGTTCGTAGGAGCCATCATTAGGAGTCTTCCCAGCAATCTGAATACCACCGGGCGTTGGTAAAGCAGCTAAATACACACCTGTGGCCGACTTGTAAAAATAATGGAGAAATAATAAGAAAAAATGTCTAAAGAATAACAGTCCTTAAATTAGGAAAGTTGCCTTTGCCTTACTGGCAAAAAGATCATTAGCATCAATGCATGCATTTGGACATGTTGAAAGAGCACAGAAACATAACTGGCAACAGGAATTGGTTGCTTTTGGTGTGAAACCTGGGTAGGTGGGGACAGCAGTGAAAGAAGGATTTACTTTTCACTGCACTTTAAAATTTTTACTTTATGATTGGAAAAAATAAGTTGCATTGAAAAACCAGTTTAGAAAAAAAGATTAAAAATTGTTAAAAATAAATTTTTTTCATAAGTGAGTAAATAATTTACCTTTAAAGTGGCAAAAATAAAAGGGAAACTTTCGTAAAACAAGTGAAGAAACTGAACTTCAGAAAGGATAGGAAACATACTCAAGATCACACTATCAATAAATTTGGAGAAGAGATGTGAATATATTTCTCACTCTAAACCCCAAGAACTTTTCATGATACCACCCTACCTCCATAATTACCAAGAAAGAAAATTTTACTTAATACAGATTTCTTTTAAATATTTAATTGAATGACTATTAATTCCTGACCCTGTAACAATACTACATGCCATCAGTACTAGAAAACTACTAGGGGAAATACAAAACATGATATGTACACATACACACACACACACATACACACCTATGTGCATTTACAGTTAAATATGCTTATATAAGCAAAGCAAAAATATGTAAGTATAAATGTCAAATTGTTAACACTGAAGGAGTGGAATGCAGACAAGAGAAGACATTTCTCTTAAGTCTGGATATTTGTGCATTTTAAACTGTGTGCGTTATCATTATTCTTTTTAATCAATTGCCAATTTTGTGAAAGTCCATCCTAAAAACGGTATGATACTCTATGATGATGTCTGTGCAGTAGATGAGACTGATCCTCAGAAGCTCTCTCTCCTATTTTGCTCATTAGTGTCCATGACTATGTCTATGACCCAGTCTCTGATGTTCATCCTGCCACATGAATGAGACAACAGTTCAGAGTGGTTGCGAACAGACTCTGGAATAAGACAGGCCTGCATTTGAAATCCGGTTCCAGTACATGCATCCATATCACTTTGGACAAGTCTCAATCTATCATAGCATCCGTTTTCTCCTCTTATAAAGATAACATTGCATTCCTTCTGGGGTACCACAGTGCCAGAAACCCAGCAGGCATCAGACATCATCAGAGAGTCCATCAGAGATCAACTATCAAGGAAGCTACTCTTGGGACCTTGAGATTTAAATGCACAGGCTAAACCACAACACAAAGATCAAAATCTCAAACAGTTATAATGAGTGTCACCAGTGGTCAAGAAGGAAAAGATTGGCAAGAAAGAAAGATTTCAGGCAAGCACTGAAAAATTACACCAGCACCACAAGCTAGTTTCCTGGGGCACAACTATCAGAAGTGTTTGATACGGTTGGCACAGTGTTTTTATTTTTATTTATTTATTTTTTTAATTTTTTTTTTCAACGTTTATTTATTTTTTGGGGGACAGAGAGAGACAGAGCATGAACGGGGGAGGGGCAGAGAGAGAGGGAGACACAGAATCGGAAACAGGCTCCAGGCTCCGAGCCATCAGCCCAGAGCCTGACGCGGGGCTCGAACTCACGGCTGGCGAGATCGTGACCTGGCTGAAGTCGGACGCTTAACCGACTGCACCACCCAGGCGCCCCTGGCACAGTGTTTTTAAATCTTTGAATCTAAATCAAGCTTAGTTCCCACAGATACCCACCAATAACTAGTATTGTGTTCAGGCCAAATTATACATTTGTAATTGCTAAGCATGTGAGTTTTTAGACAAATGAATTATAATGAACACTTTTTTCCCAAGTTGATCTAGATCTCAAATATTTTAATATAAATCAGATTACTTTCATTAATCATTATAAATTTCTCTTGTCAAAAATCATGATTACCTGATTAGTTTATCATCATTGCACAATTATCCCCTACATACAAAAATTTACATATTTGTAAATGTATGAACAAGAAATAAGTTAGCATTTTATCTGCAAGTGCATACTGAGAAAAAACACAAGTTCTATAAATTTCTTAAAATGTTTATGCATGTCAGAAAGATGGCAGGGTATTCCAATTTGAAAAGTGCCAGTATCACAAACATTCTAGCTAGCAAAGTGTCTAAAGTATAACAGGACTTCTATAAATACTGTTAATCAGTTTCTATCTGATCAATATATATTTTGCAGGCATCCAGTTCTCTGGGTCTCAGACTACTTATAAAGACAACTCTTACTTTCCCCACAGACAACTTTCTAGTCAGAACACACTTTGTAAGAAGCCTAGGTGAACATAAAGCTGAGATAAAGAGCTTTCCACCACCTCACAATTTATTAGCACTTAAGAAACACATTCTTTATTGCATATTCTACTGCTGACCGCAGGTGCACATTCAGTATGAAACTTTATTCTCTGTCCAGCAGTAAGCAAGCAGTAAGCAGTGTTTCATATGTATTGCTTTATTTTCTCCATACAACTAAAGATTGTGGTCCTCCCCCTCAGAAGTGATTTTGTCCCCTAAAGGACATCTGGTAATGTCTGGAAACATTTCTGGTTGTCACACTGAAGGGAAGCTATTAGCAACTAGTGAGTAGAGGCCAGAAAGGCTGCTGAGCACCCTAAAATGAACAAGACAGCCCCCTACAACCAAGAGTCTTCCAGTCCCAAATGTTAACAGTGCAGAGAAGAAACCCTGTTAGCAATGCTAATATTTAGCATAAAAAAAATAACATATTTTGCACAAAAAATAATAAAGTCCAGAACAGTGACAACCAACTTAACTAAACAAGCCACACATGATAATTTTTAGAAACTTGACTATTGACATTATGGTCAGAATAGAAAAATACAATAATATAAATAAATTTTACCTCATAATTTTATTAATTTAATTTTAAATAATAATTCATAAATAAAGGTGAAAATAATATATTTTAAAACTTATCACAAGATTTTTCACTTCTTATAATGTCCCCAACCCTTAAAGGTCTTAATGCCCATTTCTCTAGATAAGTCTTTTTAAAAGACTTAGAATTGCACAAAACAGATTCTACTATAGAAATTATGAAAAATCAAAACTTCTCAACTTACCGCTAAGCCCATCAACATATTTTCACCCACTGTGATCTGAATTCTCAGTCCAAATAAAGCATTCATTCCTTTCAGTTTTAGTTTATTCATTAGCTGAGTATGTACTTCATATTCCATAAATGGCAACAGATTACTGATAGCTGTGGCATTTGCTTCTGCCTGTGCTTTCTTTTTTAAACGACATAACCTGTTAAGGAAAATAATTTAGTCACTGGAGAGTATTCTTGGTATCATCTTAAAAAATGTCCAATTTTTAAAACTTTCTATAAGTGTGCTTAATAAAACATTGACTTGTGTCAAATGGGGTTTATTAAGTTATATCAATAATCTTTTCTGCCACTTTTTTCAATGTGTATGCTTTTGCTAAAAGTCCTATTTTAATAAAAGATAAAGAAAAATCTCAAAATCTCTGGAAATGGAAAAAGTATGGATCAAAATCACTAGAGAATATAATTTAAAATCTTAGGTTTTATAACTCCATGTGATCATACAATGAATGGACAGCAAAGGAAAGAAGTTAATTTACTCATTAAAAGAACACAAAATTTGGGGCCTAGGTGGCTCAGTTGGTTAAGCATCTGACTTGATTTCAGCTCAGGTCATATCTCATGGTTCGTGGGATCGTGCCCCATGTTGTGCTCTTCACTGACAGTGCAGAATCTGCCTGGGATTTTTTCTCTGCTCTTCCCTCACTCATGCTCTCGCTCTCAAAATAAATTAATTAAAAAAAAAAAAAGAACACAAAACTTACCTGAGTATCTACAATGTGCCAGGCACTATTCTAAGTGGTGAGTACTCATCAACAAACAAAAGAGTCCCTTTTCTCATGGTTATACTCCAGGGGAGGGGGGTGGAAATAAAGAAACAAGATACCCTAGGATTATGTTTAAGAATCAGATGTCTGGGGCACCTGGGTGGCTCAGTTGGTTGAGCGTCCGACTTCGGCTCAGGTCACGATCTCACGGTCCGTGAGTTCGAGCCCCGCGTCGGGCTCTGTGCTGACTGCTCAGAGCCTGGAGCCTGTTTCAGATTCTGTGTCTCCCTCTCTCTCTGACCCTCCCCCGTTCATGCTCTGTCTCTCTCTGTCTCAAAAATAAATAAACGTTAAAAAAAAAATTTTTTTTTAAAAGAATCAGTGTCTGGGGTAGCTCAGTCCATTAAGCATCCCTCTTGATTTCAGCTCAGATCATGATCTGAAGGGCATGGGATCAAGTCCTGCATAGGGTTCTGTGCTGATAGCACAGAGCCTGCTTGGGAGTCTATCTCTGCCCCTCACCCGCTAGCATGCACTCTCTATCTCTGAAAAATAAATAAACTTAAAACAAAAAAATCAGGTTTCTGAAGAAAATGGAGTAGGTGAAGCGAGTGGCAATAACTAGAGAGAAGGCCTCACAAGAGAGATGATACCTGAGCTGGGATCTTAAAGATGAGATGGAACCAAGAGCGTTGGAAAAAGGCAAATATGGAATGGAGCTGGCATATCACAAGAGCCAAAAAGAGACTACTACACTGAAGTGAAATGAGCAAGGGTGAGAATCATATGGATGAAGGTGCAGGTAAGCAGGGGCATGATCATGTTAGGGGCTTGTGGGTCATGGTAAGGAGTTTGATTTTATTCTACCAGCAATGACAAACTCCAGATAGGTTTTAAGTAGTAACATGATCCAATTTATGTTTTAGGATATCATTTACATTGCTACACAGAAAATGGAATAAGGATAACAGAATTGATGAGGGGATAGCAGACAAAAAGCAATTTAGGTGACAATGAGAGCTGAGACTAAAAAGGTAGCAGTAAAGATGAAGGAAAAGATCCCCACACTGGCAAACCAGGCTATTTACACCAGTAGTTATCAAACTTCATCTTGAGAGCTCATTAAAAAACAATTACTAGTCCCCATGCCCAGAGTTTCTGATTCAATAGGTCTGGACTGAGGCCAAGAATCTGCATTTCTATAAGGTCTCTCAAGCATCATGACGCTATTGGTTGGTCTGGGGACCACATTCTGAAAACTGCTGATGGGCACTATTCCTTCCTACCTAAAACAAACACAAAAAGCTGGATAAATTATATATTTTTACAAATTGTCTTAAAAGCTGGGGTGCCTGGGTAGTTCAGTCAGTTAAGCATCTGACTCTTAGTTTGGGCTCAGGTCATGATCTCATGGTTCATGGGTTCCAGCCCCATGTTGGGCTCCACACTGACAGTGCGGGGCCTGCTTGGGATTCTCTCTCCCTCTCTCTCTGCCCCTCACATTCTTGTGCTCTCTCTCACTCTCTCTCAGAATAAATAAACTTTGAAAAAAAAATCTTCTTAAAAGCATCACAGGACCAGGGCAAGGGGTAGTGGGGTGTATAAACATAGGGAAATGGCATGAATAAGTTCTTTTGTGATGATGGAACACAGTTTGTGTCTTCACTATGGTGGTGGTTACACAAATCTGTTTGTGGGATAAAGTTACACAGAACTATACATGTACACACAAATACATAAATGAATGCAAATTTAAAAAAGTATAAAAACTGAGTAAGGTCTGTAGTATAGTTAGCAGTATTATACCGATGTTAATTTCCTACTGATACTCTACTATGGCTGTATAAGATGTCACCAATGAGGGAATCTGTCACCAATACAAATGGTATTATTTGTAACATTTTTGCAACTTCCAGTGAGCCTATCACAGTCTAAGGAAATGAAACACAATAAATAATAAAGAACAGAAATAAGAGAATACAAAAATATTTCAGATATTAAAATTATCAGTTAAAGAATCGGTCATAGGCTGTAACATAATAAATTTGAAAAAGAACAAAATAAAACTTCTAGAAATAAAAATAGATATCAAATATTTAAAGCCCCAATTATTGGACTTACTACAATATTAGAGACAGTTGAAGAGAGAATCAAAGAACTGGAAGATAAGAAAGTATTCAACATATGGCATAAACAAAAATAGAAAATTTAAGAAAGTAAGTAACATACATAAAAGAAGCAGTGAGAAAGTCCAACATTTTTAATTATAGTATCAAGAAGAGACATGAAACATGGGACAATATCTAAAAATTTTCTAAAACACATGAAAGAATCTACAGATTCAAGAAGTCCAATATATAGCAATTAGAATAAAAAATTCCATACTTAACATTTCATAGGGAAATTGCAAAAAACCAAAAATACATAGAATAGCTCACACATAGCCTGGGGTTGAAGGGCAGCTACCTTCAAAGGAATAAAAGTTAATCTAATAGGTTATTTCTCAATAGTAGTAATGAAAATCTGGAAGGCAATGGAAGGGTATCTTCAATGTGCTGCAAGAAAATAAATGGCAGCCCAAAATATCTTTTAAAGATAAGTAAATATTTTCAGACAAGCAAAACTAGTTCACCAAAATAAATGGTCTAAAGTCTATACCTCAAGCAAAAGAAAAACAATCCCAAATGGAAGGTCTAAGATGTAATCGGAAATTGAGCAAAAAAAGCAAAAGTAAACATATTAGAAATACAGGCATGCCTGGCTGGCTCAGTCAGTTAAGTCTCTGGCTCTTGATTTTGGCTCAGGTCATGGTCTTGCCTTACGTGAGACTGAGCCCCACGTCAGGCTCTGTGCTGACAGTGCAGAGCCTGCTTGGGATTCTCTCTCTCTCCCTCTCTCACTCAAGATAAATAAATAAACTTAAAAATAAAAACTAAAGGGGCGCCAGGGTGGCTCAGTCAGTTGAGCGACCGACTTCGGCTCAGGTCTTGATCTCTCACAACAAGGTTGAGCGACCAACTTCGGCTCAGGTCTTGATGTCACAGTTCATGGGTTCGAGTCCCATGTCAGGCTCCAGGCTTACAGCTCAGAGCCTGGAGCCTGCTTCAGATTCTGTGTTTCCCTCTCTCTCTGCCCCTCCCCCACTCATGCTGTCTCTCTGTGTCTCTCAAAAATAAATAAAACGTTAAAAAATTTTAAAAATAAACAAAAAATATACATACGTTCAAAAATAAAATTCAACATGACTCTGTAAAATAGCTTTGATGCAGGGAGGTTAGGAAAGAGGACAGTGTCAAAGAATACCATATTTGGCATAAAAAGTGGACAGAGCAAGGTATCATTCATTAAAATAAAGAAGGCTAACATGAAAGAAGTGGAGAAAGCCAGCAGTTCAATATGGAACAAGTATGAGTTGCCTACAAGACATCAAAATAGGGTGTGAAAGTATATGGGTCTGAGGCTCAGAAGAAAGTTCTGGACTAGAGTTATAAATCTGGGAGTCACAGACATATAGAAAGCACATCTGTAGGAGCTGATGAATTCAACCTGGAAGACAGCTTTGAGAAGAGAGTCCAGACCCGTGGCCCTTCAAGGATTAAGAAAAGGAGGAAGAATCAACAAGGACACTGAGGATTATACATAAGGTAGGAAAAAGCAGGGGTTGGGGGCGGGGCACTATGAAGTCAAAGGAGTATCAAGGAGAAGATGATCAACTGTGTGACTACTATTATTGCTGAGATGTCAAGTAAGAGGAAGAGAGAAAAGCATTTCAACGGATTTGGTAGCCTGGCAGTTGTCAGTGACCTAGACAGTTATCACTGCTTCCTATATGCCAACCACAATTTAGCATTTCCTACTCCAGTACATTTTAAAAGGAACTGTTAAGAGCTAAATTAAGTAGTAAAAGAAACCATACATAGCATTGTTCTTTAAAAGAAAAAAGATAAATTTCTAAAATGTATTACATATTCAATGTCCTTAAAGCACAGTCACGTTCCTAGCCTGAAACAAGTTAATTAATAATCTTCATAATAACAGATATTTGTATAGAATTGAAATGTTTAAAATTGCTTTTGCATTTAAACTTATTTGAGTTTTATAAAATGGGTACTCTTCCTCCCAATATTCCATGTGACTAAATACAAGGTCTAGATAGTACTGCCCAGCCTGCCAGGTAGGAAACAGTACAGCAGACATGTGAAATAGATCTATTTGACTCCATATCTCATACTTTCTCAGGGACCCCAAATATTGTTTACACAAATATACCTTGCTTGAATAAGACAACCTTTTCCAATAACTGTTGCATCTGTTGGGAGGTCAATAGTTGTAAAGAGAACATCAGGAACTTTCTGTTTCCTGCAGTTATAGCAGTATGTGAGATGAGCTGGAAATGGCATATTCAGTTCGTCATATGGTATGTGGCAAAATCCACAACCTACAGGCAAATTTTCTTCTAGCCTATATGAATACATCAAGATAAAAAAATGAAGCATTCTTAAAAATTCCATGCATTTTTTCAAAAGCATATGTTATACATATAGTACTAATGTATAAACTATATAACTTCTACCACTATGAGAGTTATGACAGTCCCACTATGACTATTAAGAATTAAAAATGACCATGAAATCAAAACCATACACTTTTGTATGAGAGAGAAGACTTACACAAGTAGCCATTGAATTGCATCAATTCATACGTTTGAGAATGTCCCACCTGACAAAAACCACTATTATTCCAAAGCTAGTTCATAAAAACAAATGGTTAGATAATAAGGGTGACATTTTCCTACTGTCTGACAAACATAACACAAATATAATCACCAAATATAATCACAAATATAATTGTGGGTTTGAGCCCCTCGTGAGGCTCTGTGCGGACAGCTCAGAGCCTGGAGCCTCCCTCAGGTTCAGTGTCTCCCTCTCTCTCTGCCTCTCCCCCACTCGTCTCAGTCTCTCAAAAATAAAATAAACATTAAAATTTTTTTAATTTAAAAAGTCAAAAATAGGCATAATCTAACATTTCTAATTTCCAATGACTTAAGAATTTGTCAGAATTAAACATTTCTGAGAAACCGAAACACCTGTGTTTCACAAACAACATAAACCACAAGTAAACACACAACCTTCTCAATCAGTAAAATGTTTGCTGTAGTAATGCTTATGAATTCACTTCAGAATGGTATTTTTTTCACTCATCAAATCTGAGGAAATTAGGGAAACAGAAATGGAAGAAGAAAGCTCCATGGAGAACTCCAGACATTCACACAGCCACACCTCTAGAGCTGTGGAAAGATATGGGTTCTCAATTCATTCCAATCTAAAGTGACCTGTTAGAAGCTGAAACTTGGCAAGCGGACACATTAAAAAAGAGAAAGGAAACTCATACTGTATCTACTAGGAGTCAGGCTTCCTGCAGATTCCTTGTATACATTACTGCACTGAATTTCCAAAATAACCTTCTAAATCAAATTACTCCCATACATTAATTATTCTTTTGTTGGGATGGCATTCTGGTATAAGCAACAGGGAAATCAGATGCTAAGTAGAGCTGTGTGATCTTACACAAGTTATTCAATTTCTCAGAGCCTCTTCTATATAACCAGAATGACAGTATCTACCCAGAAAGGCTTTTTTTTTTTTTTTTTTTTTTTTTTTTTTTTTGAAGACTAAGCAGGAAAACATAGATAAACACCCCCCCCACACACACACACACAATATAATAAAAAGCAAAGAGCAACAAAAACTAAACTAGTTCTTCTTGGCCTGAAACCAACCTGAGATACTAAGTGACTTGTTCGGTCACACAAAATACAAGGCAGGAGACCTCAGATTTTAATGTTGGTTGGTTTGAACCAAAGCCCATGTGTCACAAAGGGGCACAAAAGATTGAACACTGGGGTAATTTTTAACTAAACACCTCACAGAAATTCAAACATAAATGATGCAATATCATAGGCATAAAAACAGAACTATTTAAATTCATGGAAGCATTTAAAATATGAAATATACAGAATGGATTAGCTCAATACTGAGTTTATAGGGAATGTTTTCTTCCTTTTACTCTCCCATACTTTCCAAATTTTCTCTAGTAAGCATAAATAATTTTATAGCAAGAAAAAAGACATTTTCCTCTTTTATAGATAGGGATGGTATCTGTTCCACTAGATTGGCATATAAGAGAATTCACTGTATCCATCCAAGCCGCAATACCAAAATAATCAAGCTGCATGGGAAAGGCCATTTTTAAATCAGGCTTCTATCTACTCAATAATGAAATCCACTGACGTGAGAGAACTATATTGCAGCACTGGAACAACTCAAAATAGAACACTCTGACTTTTAATATACTTTAAAATGTTCCACCTTCTTTTTCCTATTTATGCTGACTTTTAATGCTCTGTAATATATTACAGTCAAAATACCTTTTTAATACAAACTAAAGAAGAAACCGACTAAGGTCTTCTATGTGCCTACCTGAGCTAGAATAACTTTGTTATACAGAGACTTGCAAATTTATACTAAATTTGATCACATATAGATTTTTTTTTGCTGTCTTCCTTAATATACAAATACTGGGGGGAGGCGGGAGGGGGAGGGAAGCAAATATGCATACAGTGAAGTAAGGGGTAATTAAAATTTGTATTATTCAGGTACTCTGGTACCAAACTAATAGTTTTCTGTATATATATATTTGATAATTTCATCTGTTTATGGAAAGTATTTTTGACATTCATGGAAGCTAACAGATTAAGAGATTAATAACCAAATAAACTAAAAAGTAATCTATTTTACCTAATAATTTCACTTTTACTTTCTCTTTCATACATATTAAAGTTATATTTCACTTTTTAGGAAGTTTTATATATAATTTTGTTACAATACAGTGTTTCAATTGTTCTGTAAATTATGAATTTTCTTTATGCAAACTGTTTCATGACCTTTTTCTGTTTCAGAGGTAGACAAGGGGGAAAAGAAAGGAAGAGAAAAATCAAAGGAAATTACTTCTATACTATAACAAAAAATATACACTTGAAATTCTTTCACTGATAGTTATACATGTAACTTACCAAGATACTAGAAAAATTCTAACAATGTGTGTCATATAGTGCAGAACTCAATACTTCTCTGTTGCTATAGGTTACACAAAAAGCAGTGAAGTGCCTGGTCCTCATTTCTATATTAAGCCACTCTCATACAGAAGAACTATCCCAGCTCTAAAGTTACAAAAGTTAACCTCTCCCTTCTTTGCCATCATAGAAAATAAGCCAGGCTGCCATGACAACCTCTGTTCCAAACAGCCCTCCACGGTGCCATCCTGCAGAAATCTAGGGTTCAGTACAGCTGCCGTGCCGGATGCAGATAAAATACAGACCTCTTCACTATAAAAGAAAAAAACATAAAACAGTTAACATCTTCAGGCAATCTAACTTTGAAAAATGTTAAATATCAAAGTGATTACAGGGTGACAATTTAAATTCAAGTTAGACTCCACAAATATTAATGATATCATAAGATTATCTCCTATCCTAGGATAAAAAATAAAAATAATGTTATTAAAATGAAGAAGGTGGGGTGCCTGGGTGGCTCAGTCAGTTAAGCGTCCGACTTCAGCTCAGGTCATGATCTCACCATTTGTGAGTTCAAGCCCCATATCGGGCTCTGTGCTGACAACTCAGAGCCTGGAGCCTGCTTCTCATTCTGTGTCTCCCTCTCTCTCTGTCTCTCCCCTGCTTGTGCTCTCTCTCTCTCTCTCTCTCTCAAAAATGAATAACCATTAAAAAAAATTTTTTTTAATAAATAAATAAAATGAAAAGGGTAAGAATTCTTTATACTTAAAAAATTGTAAAAGATAAAGCACAATATTAATGACAATAAATTCCTTTAAAATATGGTAAACCTGATAAAGACTGAATATCTCAAAGTAGTAACAAATTATTTTGCGGAATTCAGCAATAAACCATTAAACTGTATTAAAATACTCTTTAGGGGCGCCTGGGTGGCGCAGTCGGTTAAGCGTCCGACTTCAGCCAGGTCACGATCTCGCGGTCCGTGAGTTCGAGCCCCGCGTCAGGCTCTGGGCTGATGGCTCAGAGCCTGGAGCCTGTTTCCGATTCTGTGTCTCCCTCTCTCTCTGCCCCTCCCCCGTTCATGCTCTGTCTCTCTCTGTCCCAAAAATAAATAAACGTTGAAAAAAAAAAAAAATTAAAAAAAAAATACTCTTTAAATGCATACTAAACTTCATTAAAATCATTTTAAAAGTGTAACTATGTAATTATCGATATCCCTATAGCTTAAAGTTAATAATCAAAAGGTATCTGAAACAAATAATACCCAAAATATACTAAATGGAGCTTAAACTACATCATTATATGTATGATAAAAACCTCACTTTCAAAAGAATTATTTGGAATTCTTTATTACATATCAACTAATTTTAAATAATCCACAAAATTATTGAATGAGATCATACAAAGCAAAAGAGAAAAGTTGCAGCCTAGGGACAAAATGTTGGAAACAGTATAAGTGGACCAGAAGTCTGAAAGGACATGAAAGAAATGGTCACTTGATCTGTAACTGAGTAGAGAGAGACCAGGCTCAAAATGTTTAAGTGGGCACTGAGAAGAAGGTGGAGTCCCTGATGTGCTGAATTAAGGAGCTCTAAGAGCAGAAGTACATTTCAAAGAGTTTATCCAGTAATAGTACATAGGATGGATCAGAACCAAAAAAATTAGTAAAGATGGGATTTAAACACAAGATTTTTTGAGGTCTGGAGGGAAAAAAGAAGCTTGTATCAGGTGACTTCAAACTTCTACGTAAATCAATTTGACTTATTTCTGTACACTCCCGCATCTACCTGTGACCTATTTCCTGCCACACTGAATGTACACCTCTGGCCTTCTCTGCATGCTACTCTACTAGCCTTAAACACTCCCTTCATGCCTCCTTTCTTCATTTATATAATTCATACTCATCCCCTGAGATTTAGTTTAAGCTTCAGTTACTTCATTAACCCTTTCTTCTAATCTTACTTCTAAACTCCAACCCTCTGGGCCCCACAGCATCCTGGGATAACTCTGCCATAAAATGTGTTCTACTTGTCATAATTCTCCAGTAAAATGTGAAACCAATAACAAAAACTATGTCTTTTAAAACCATAACCCTATGACCTGGAAGCATATGACAGTAAATCTATGAGCTAAGATTATCTACTGGGGAGTAAGGCAGGATAAGCATAACAAAGTTATTAGTTTAACAAGTGTAGAATAGCTACAATGGAGACAGAAAGGTGCAAGAATACCACACATGATCCACAGAGGAAAAGAAAGGGCCCTCAGAAGATGAAACAGCATGGCTCTCCACATATACCAGAGTCTAATCATTTTTCTGTAAAAATAATGACCACCACAAGCACAAGAGAATTACCCATGTAATAGTTGACAGTAAGGATTAACCAAGAATAGGAGGTGGAGGTGCCTGGATGGCTCAGTTGGTTAAGTGTTTGACTCGGTTTTGGCTCAGGTCAAGATCTTGTGGTTGGTGAGATCGAGCCCCACATGGGGCTCTGCACTGACAGTGTGGAGCCTGGTTAGGAATGTCTCTCCTTTTCTCTCTGCCCCTCCCTCTCCTCTCTCTCTTGAAAAATAAACAAATAAACATTAAGAGAAAGAAAAGAAAAAGAATAGAAGGTGGGCAGCAAAAGGTCAAACAGTTTCTAGATGATATCTATTATAAACTTTTCAAGGGGTTGAAAGTAGGGTTCATTGATGGCAGTCAGCAAGTCAAATCAGAGCCCAACTAAGAAACTGGGGAAAATCTTGGTTAAGATAAAAGCCAAAACAAACCAGGTATAAATGTGCAAATGAGATAAGTGAAAAATATTAAGTTGTGATCCAAGAGAGAAATTTTATAGTTTCAAATTTTTAAAGGGGAACCATTTTGAGCAATAATGAAGCCTAAAATACAGTTGAAAGCTGAGGGATAGAGGAGGACATGAGAATGAGAAGGTACAAAGTCAGGCTGTTAGAAGGGAGGTAATCATGTTCAACTGGAGGAGACAGCAGAGAATTAAGAAAGGCAGAAGAATGTTTTGGAGGTAGGAAAGTCTGAACTGTGGAATGGCATGGACTTTAAAGTAAGAGAGATTGTTCAAATGAAAGGTAGGAGAAAAAGAAATGGAGAACTAGGAGTATGGAAGTCTCTTCCTAACTCGGCAGAGTTAGGAAGGATGATGTGTTGGCAGAAGAAAATTAAGTTGCAGTTAGGTAAAAAGAGTTTACAGACAAACCTTAAAGACACATTAGATCAAGGTTTCCAAATATCCCAGAAGAAAGAGTTAGTGGGGTCGCAAACTGGAGTAAAGTAGGCCTAGAATTAAGACTTGCCATGTGCCAGTATCAATTCTCATTTAATTCGTCAGTAACCTTAATTGATAGATGGTTATAATTTCCATTTCAATGTATAAACTGAGGCTCAGAGGAATAGTTATTTTCTCAAAGTTTCACAGCAATTAAGTGGCAAAAATGGCATATGGACCTCAGTCTGATGTACTCCCAAGTCCATGCTCCTGGATCACTCCATAATTCTTCTTTTCTCTATATTTGCATAAAGCTTTTAACCTTTTAGATGACAATCCATAAATTACAGCATCTAGAAAATCAAGTTATTATCATTTACCAGATGCTAGTTGATTCACTGTAGCCCACTACAGCATGACAGCCTAATGCTTTAGCATGTGATTTTATTTCTTGTCTGATTTCTGCCCACCACGCATCTCGAGTTTCTGGTTCATCTGAAAGATAAATTTTATATCAGTTCACTACTCAATAGCACATTGTTTATATGAGAAAGAAATGTTTAAAATAAACATATTCTGGAAGGCAAAGACACACTAGTCTATAACAGATTTTAAAACTAACTTCACATGTTTAAAATATTATTTCTCGGGGCGCCTGGGTGGCTCAGTCGGTTAACCATCCGACTTTGGCTCAGGTCATGATCTCAGGGTTCCTGAGTTCGAGCCCCACATTGGGCTCTGTGCTGACAGCTCATAGTAGCCTGGAGCCTGCTTCAGTTTCTCTCTCTGACCCTCCCCTGGTTACATCCTGTCTCTCTCTCTCTCTGTCTCTCAAAAATAAATAAATATTTAAAAAAAATTAAAAAAAATAATAAAATAAAATAAATTTCTCAAAATGCTTATTAACATTTTAATTTAATGCTACTTCTCACAAAATTTAACATTTTTAAACTTGATTGCTAGAAAATAAACCAACTAGTTCTATTTGCTTTATTACTTTAGGGGACATCTATAGGAATATATTTTATTAGATACAACTTCAAATGTAGACCCAGAGTTTCCAGACTCTAATCCTAAACTGAGGATATTCTATGTCTCACTCACCTTGCTCAGTGAACATTGTGAGTCATATCCATACATTTAATTTAAATTCTGATTTCATTTCCTGGTACCTATTTTTTATAACCCACTATATTCTAGGTTCTTTCCAAGGCAAAGATTTGTCAATGTTAAAAAAGAGAAAGCCATCTGTAGCCATCCTTGGGGGTCCTAAAGCAAAGTAACAAGAAATAAAGGGACCAGCCAATTTAAAATAAAGAGAGCAAATATGTTGAATTTAATACAAGTAATTGGGTTAATGTAAATAAGGACAAATTTCAGGCAGTACACTGTAACTACATGTATGGTTCTGTAAGTAAGAAAATGCCTTAGAATCACAGCATTGCATTTGTTTTTTTTGTTTGTTTTGTTTTGTTTTTTTAACACAGAGGAATCCGATATTGTTTGTAATGGAGCATTATAAATGGAGCATCTGGCACACATTCTTCCTAATCACTTGCATTTAGCTGCAAACTACTGGTGAACAGCAGCTGCAAATAATAGTAACATTTTATGTGCAAAGATGTTAAAAACAGAAACAGTCTATAATGGGCATATCCTAATTTGTTTCTTTGTGTGGACAATTCCATTTGGGAACAATTTGGTATAGAAAAAACTTTAAATAGGATGCTAAACTCTCTTTGTAAATTTTCCACAGAAAAGGCACTTATTAAAACTGAAAATCAACCAGTCCAAAAACTTCCTTTTTTGAATTTTAGTACATATCCAGTTTTCAAAATATGTTTTTTTTAAATAAGTAGAATAAGTAGAATTATACTCACTAGTAAAATACTGAAGACAGCAAAGTAAAGAAAGGTTAAAAGGCATGTTATAGCAGACATTTCTATGATGTAATTTTGTTTCCTCCACAGGGAGGAGATCAACAAAAGGGAGAAATGAGATAAATGTCATAACTACAAATGATGCCAGCCAGTTCTTGTATTAAAGTTTTGGATCCAAGACAGAGCTACCCTAAAACTTTCCTTCAGGAGAAAAAAAAAAAAAAAAAAAAGAAAAAAGAAAGAAAAGAGAGAAAGAAAGAAAGAAAGAAAGAAAGAAAGACAAAAAGAAAGAAAGAAAGAAAGAAAGAAAGAAAGAAAGAAAGAAAGAAAGAAAGAAAAGAAAGAAGAAAGAAATGCAGACTCCAGGAAACTGAGGAAAAAGATCCAAGTACGAGATAAAATAAAGAAGAGAAATAGAAAAGACTACAACAATATGGTGTTAGCAATCAATATTGTGAATTAAGAAATGTGTAAGACAATTAGGTGGCCCTATTTTGCACATACACTATTATGTTAAAGAATTTCTTCATATTCCCCCTGTAATGTAGACATTAACAGCACAAATACATTTGCAAATCCTTTTTTTTTTTTTTTTTTTTTTTTTTTTTTTTAAGACATACATGTTTCCAGGCCAATTTGGGCATCTATTTAACATCGTTTCCTAATAAGGGCATTTTTATCGTAAGACAAACTCCTGTTCATGTAGTTGCTCAGACTATCAAATTATTTATGATTCCTTGAAAACAGGTATCACAAAAAATAACAAATATAACTCAGTTTAGAAAATAACTATTTTCCCTGAAAAACATTGTAAAATAAAGATTAATTTTTCTTTAAAAACCCTAGTAGAACCCGCTACTTACTTTTTATATCTTTCTGGAAGTTTAAATATTATTTGCTAAGGCAAATAATTGTATACTATGTTTTTATAAAAACAGATTTTTCTCACATTAGATTTGCCTACATCTGTGCCACAAGTAATACATGGTAGCTTTTCTGTTTTAAATGAATTTTATAGAAAGTAATCCATAACACTGTTTTTTAAATTAGTAAAAAAAAAAAAAAAAAAAAAAAAAAAAAAAAAAAAAAAAAAAAAAAAGGAGGAAACTACTTATTTTCAGTTCAGGATATATTTATTTAGAAATGGCCAGCATGTCTAAATGGAAAAGTGTGTAATAATAATCACTATGAAATACATGTAACCACATAGATTAGAAAGTTCATTTACATCAAACTTACCTTGGTGTAACACATAAAATAATCAGATAATTAAACCAAACGCTATGAAAGAATAAGTGGCTGATTTAAAAAAAAATCAACACAACAAAGGGCTGACTGCAGCGCAAGTGGAGCATTCATGTTCCTCTGACGAGGTCACAAGCAGCCTTTATTCTGACACATGAGCCACACAACTGCACATGGGGATGCCATTGGTGTATTTAATAAAGTATTTACAAGTTTAATAGAAGCTAAAGAGTTACACAACATGGGAGCTAAGGAAGCAAATGGCATATGTCCACACTCCAAAGAATTTGTTAAATTTTGTTTTTGGCTTAAGCAAAAGCTCAGAGAACAAAGGGTTTTGCAAAGCAGATTCAGCAGACAGGAGCCAGAAACAGTGGATATTTTGGCGCATGCTTGGATCAGGTGACAGTACAGACTGAAAACTATGGCAGCTCACTGAAATGGTTACAGAAAGTAATGGCCCTAGAGTCTAGGTGGAAGCAAGGCAAGCATACAGTAGGGAGCACTTAATCACAAACTAGGAACTGAATCAACAATAATTATCTACAACCGTAAGCAAGAAGCCAAAGGATGAATTTTTTGGCTATTAAATTTAGGGGTTATTTAATTAAAATTAAGAATCAATTTATTTAATATTGAAAAAATTAAATTTATCTTCAAAGCCTACAATATATTTATATCAGAGATGAGCCAAAGAATATTCACTTAGTAATTATGACTCAGCCTTACTTATTATATCTGTAAATTCAGAAATATACTATTTAATCCCATAATGGGATTTTTTTCAAGCTTAAGTAACTGCTAACTGCATTCTTATAGGAAATACATTGGTTGAATTTGAATTGTGTTATTCACTCTCCAAAAGTCAAAACTGAGGATCTATCATAGTCATATAAAAGGCAAAATAAAGAGTCTGGCTTAAAAATTTATGGCAACTCTACATACCACTCGTGAAACTAGATACAATTTAGTCATTTGAAGCATATACAGCTGAGATGTGAAGGTCACAATTAAAAAACATTTCAGAGATGTCAAGAAAAAAAATCTTCACTTTAAATACCATGCTCCTCCAAATAATCTATAGAACTATTTATAATTATAAAAAGATCTCACTTTAGAGGATATTAAAATTTATGTACTATATAAATTATATTTCATACGATGTTGTATTTGTATTCTATGGGTCAAAACTCTTCATAGATAATATCACAAATCTTTTAATATATCCTTTTATTTATAGGCATGCACTGTGCTCTAGATCAATACCTCACTGATGCTTCTTTTAGAGGTACTGTCTGCACATTTGGGTTGACATCACAATTAATTTTTCTTTACTGTTACTTTTCTAGAGCATGGACATAGCTTGATATCTTGCCATCTTTTTAACATTTTGTCTTATTTCTGAAGTACAGGTAAAACTGGTAAAGATTCGTTAAAATGATAATAATAGCTTATATCTCAGAAAGTAAAGAAGTGAACAACTCAATATAATATGCCTTTATAAAACTTAGTCCCTTTGAGATTTTAGGCAATCACACACTTGCAACTAAGAAAAACTGACTACCTAAAGTGTTCAATTTAATTCTATTTTTACATAGCTCTGGAAGAGAATAATTCTTCCCTTGAGAATCTTTTAATCTAATTGAGAGAAAAGAAAATGGACAATTATTCAATCTAATTTTTAAATAAACGAGAGGAGATAAAGTGTTAGGTGGGCTCAAATAAACATTTTTAATACAACAATAATCTATCTTGTTAATGGAAGCATTAAAAAGCCACATTCTTAAACATCTTAAAGTAATATTCCAACACAAAACAACTCATTGAAGAACACAAATTTCCCTAATGAAATAGAAATTAGAGAGTTCAGGTTCAAGTGTGTATACCACCTCAAACTAGGTGGCGATTCAGTACCAACCTAGGAAGAACAGTCCCATCATACAGTAAGTGATGTGCAAATTCAGAGCAGACATCAAGTTGCAGTAATTTGGGATCTTAGGATGGTAGCTGGGATATAATCCGTGCTAGATCAAACTGGAGTCTTCACTATTCATAAAATAAGTCAGACACATAACTACTCCTTATCTGTGAGATTTCCCTCTTTATACATGGAGAGAAGATTACATATAACATTTACATACTATAATATTGTAATTAACATCCAGTATATTAGACATATAAAGAGTAAAATTTCAAAAATAAGGAAATTACATGTCTGACTTTTTCTTACAGATAATAAAGAATGGAGAGTAATTGGTATCCAGTTACATTATATGTAGACAGAAAAATTTGTATTACATTTACATGTTACATTACATATAAAGAGAAGTTCACACATTATACATGCTATATTTACAAAGCCTTCTTGAA